AAACAGATTTCTGCTCCTGTATTACATAAGAATGATATTCCAGGAATGGTGCTTATATGTTGAAGAATGCTTTATGCCAGGCATAGTAGGACACACCTTGAATCCCAGCACTTGGGAGGCAGAGGCAGGTGGCTTTCTTTAATTTCCAAGCTAGCCTGGTCTACATAGCAAGCTCCAGGCCAAGCAGAACTGCATAGTGAGACCCTGTCTCGGAGGGGACACAAAAAAGGGAAGTTTTATTAGTTCTAAATAATGCTGTTACTTGGTGCCAAGTGATGCTTGGAATTGTTTTTTAGGCATATCTAGCTTTGCTTTTGTTCTCTTCTACATGGTCTGATTGTCTACCATAGTAAGGGTCCTTCCTTATTTCTATGCTTAGACGTTACAGGGCTAGCCTTTAATTGGCTTTTGCAACTTCTAATTGAAATTTAAAGCCTTTACAAAACTGTTTTCATCAGAAGATCAGTATAAGTTGTGCTGGTCAAGGTTCTTGATTGCAAATGATAAAACTGATCTTAGTTAATTTAAGCTAAAAAGGAGTTAACTAGCTAATTCCTTGTTTGTCAGGTCATTCAGAGCATTGACAAGAAGGTGGAAACAGTAGCTACAAGAACAGCCAAGGCTTGCTATAGGGCTAAACTGGCATAATCCACTCAGGTATTTTTCCCTAGATTGGTTGCATTAGTCATGATCACTGAGAACAATCTGCAAGCATTCTGGGCCTTTGCCCCACCTAGAAGTCCTAACCTCACCTAAATTAGGAGCTGTACATAACTATCAGACACAGCAGGAGAGAGTTCCATGCAGCCTAGTCAACCAACACTTTTTGTTTCCTGTCTGTTATTAAGGATATGCCATGTTTTATTTTGTTTCTTTGATAATTTCATACATACATACAAGATGTCTTGATCATATCCCCCAACAGTCCCCTCCTATTCCCCCTAGATTCCCCTAAAATATGTCCTTCCTGCCTTCTGACCTTTTTTTTTTTTTTCCCATAATTCACTGCCCATATATGCATGGGTGTGGGGCTACCACCAAAGCATGGGCAACTTACTAGCTGTCACCCCCAGAAGCAAAATGACTCCCACTTTTCCAACAGCCATCAGCTGCCAATAGCTCCTTAGTTGGGGGTGGGCCCTCATGGTCCATTACCCCATATACATGCTAGAGTATTTTCTGACTATCTATATTGTGCAGGTAACCACAGCTGCTTTTAGTATATGAGTGCAGTGGCTGTGTCATGTCTAGAAAACAGCATTTCTTAACCTCCCTGAGCCTTTGGATGGGAGTGATTAAAATGTCTCATTTAGGGCTAGGAGCACTCAACCGTCACTTGTTCTCAGCATTTGACCACTTAGAAGTTTCTGCATTAGCTGCTGCCCACTGTAAAAAGAAGCTTCTGATCAAGGTTAAGAGCAGCACTAATCCATGGGCTATAAACATGAATATTCAGAAGACAATTTAACAATGTGTCCATTTAGTAAAACAGCAGTAGTAGGTTCACTCTAGGGCCTGTGACCTCCTTAGCCATAGGCTTTTGGCAGTTTCATGGTACCACATAATCATTATCATCAAATGTTTCAGATGTAAAAGGTTTGAAAGAGTAAGATGGATGTTACACATACTGTTATATTTAAGTAATAAAGCTAGGCATGGTAGTGCATCTTTGTATCTCAGCCTTTGGGAGACTGCAGCAGAAGGATCAAGAGTTTGAGGCCAGCTTAGTGTGACTTAAAAAATTTATGAGTGTTTTGCCTGCATGTATGTAGGTATACTGTGTGTGCAATGTCAGTAGATGCCAGAAGAGGGCATTGTACCCCCTGGAACTGGAGTTAAGGATGGTTGTTAGCTGCCGTATGGATTCTGGGAGCTGAACCTGGCTTCTCTCCAACAGCAGCCAGTGCTCTTAACTGCTGAGCAGTCTCTCTAGCTCCAGACCCTGTCATAAAAATAAAATAACACCAACAGCAACCCCAAAAAGAGGGGGAAAAAAAACTACCATAAACTTCCTCTGTACTCGACGAATTTTCCTTACCTTCATAGATGTAACCATTATCCTAAATTGTTGTGTATCATTTCAGTCTGTCTTTGTAGCTAAGTATAGATCCCTAAGTCCTTATGTAATGATACACAGTATCATACTTTAGAATTTTATGGACATATCCATCCCCCCCCCCCCCCCCGCCTCACAGAAGTACTAACAAACTGAATTCTAGCAACATATAAAATAGATTACATGACAGGAAAAAGTATAGCTTATCCCAGGGAACCAAGGTTGATTCATTATGTAAAAATTAATTTAATATGCTACATTACTTGAATAAAAGACAAAAGCTGGGGTATAGCTCACTTGGTAGAATGAGCAGGCACAAAGGCCTGGGTTCAGTCCAGGCCTGTATAAACCAGATGTGGTAGCAGATGCATGCAATCTCAGTATTCAAGAGGCAGAGGCAGGAAGATCAAGGTTCAGGGTCATTCTCAGCTACATAATGAGTGTGAAGCCACTCTGGGCTACATGAGACTGCCTCAAAAAAAAAAAAAAAAAAAAAAAAAAAAAAAAGGGACTAGACAGATGGCTTAGTTGTTAAGAGCACTTACTACTCTTGCAGGGGACCAAAGTTCAGTTTCCAGTACCCACATCAGTCAGCTCACAACCACCTAAAACTCCAGCTCCAGGGGACTCTAATGTACTCATGTAAAAGAGGAGCTGGAGAGATGGTTCATTCAGTAAGGGCACAAAGTGCCCTTGTTGAGGATCCAAGTTCAGTTCTCAGCACCCTTGTCAGATGGCTTATAACTGCCTTCAACTCCACCTCCAGGGGCTCTGATACATCTGACTTCCAAGGGCACCTGCACTCATGCACATACCCACATGATTAAAAATGAAAAAAAATTTTTTTTAAAACTAAAAGAAAAAAATTTTAAAAAGAAAAATACAGAGCCAAGTTGATCCGATGAATAGTTACAGAAAGCATTTGATAAATGCTAACTTCATTTTATGATTTAAAAAGACACTCAGCCGATTGGGAAAAGAGGGGAAATTCCTCAGACTTAGAAAAGGGCATCTATTAAAAAATAGCTAATAGCATGGTGAAAAAATGAAAACGTTCTTCTACAGGGCTAGGAGTAAGACAAGATCATGGAGTAAGACAAGATCATGGTTTTTGGTGTGTTTTTTTTTTTTTTTTCTTTACATGGTCTCCCTAGTCCTAGCCCACCTAGAAGTCACTATGTGGACCAGACTGCCCTCATCCTCACAGAGATCTACCTCAGAGGGCTGAAATTAAAGACACACATGTAAGATGGTGGTCTTTTCATCCTTGTGCTGGAGGTTATAGACAGGGAAGCCAGCAAAGAGAACTGAAAAACCAGCAAAGAGAACTGAAAAGCTTCCGTATTGGGAACGAAGAAGTAAAACTATTTATAGCAACGATTATTATTTATTTATTTTATGTTTTGTTTTTTTTGAGACAGGGTCTCACTAAATAGCCTTAGTTGGCCTGGAACTCACTATATAGACCAGGCTGGCCTCCAACTCACGGAGCTTTACCTGCCTCTGCCTCCTGAAGGCTGAAATTAAAGGTTGTGCCACTGTAGCTGGCCCTTAAAAAAAATTATTTTCTATATATTTTTATTTTGTGTGTATAATTGTTTTGCCTGCATGTACGTAAGTGCACCCATGCAAGCCAGTGCCTGCAGAGGCTGAGAGTGGGCATTGGGCCCCCTGGAACAGGAGGTATGGTGTAAGCCACCATGTGGGTGCTGGGAAATGAACCCAGGTCCTCTGCAAGAGCAGCTAGTGCTCTTAACTGCTAAGCTAGCTCTCCAGCTCAATATTATCTAGTAGATAGAAAATACTAAGGAATCTCTGAAAATTATTAGACAGTCTAAAAATGAAATGAAAAAAAAAATTCTATTTACAACAGCATCACCAAGAATAAAACAGCTGGGTGTGATGGCACACACTTTTAATTCCAGCATTTAGGAGACAGAGGTAGACAGATCTCTGTGAGATCAAGACCAGCTGGGACTGCTAAACAAAGGTGATGTATATCCATATGATGGAATGTTGTTCAGATGGAAAGGATGAAAATCCAGCAAGGATAAAGTTTGAAAATATGCCAAACAAAGGAGTGCAGATGAAAGGGCACTATTACCGTATGATTCCATTCATTTGAAATGTTGAGAATAGGCAAATTCATCAGAAGAAGGAAGTAGACTTGTGGATGCCAGGGCTGGCAGGAAGGCAGAAATGGGGAGTGACTGATGTTGGGTACAGACTGCATGTGGGGATGATAGAAATGATCTAGAGTTAGATATCCAATTTTGTGAGTATTCTAAAAAACACTGAATATTATACTGGAGAGGGATGAATTATATGTGGATCATATTTGAATTTGAAAACAAGGAGGAAAAATAATGTAGGAAGAAGACAGTCCAATCAAAAACATGGGCAAAAAGTCAGGTGTGTTAGTACAAACTGTAATCTTAGTACGGAGGCTGAGGCAGGAAGATGGGCTACATAGTGAGATTCTGCACCAGTGAGATGGTTCAGCTTCTCAGAGGCTTCCTTTAATATAGGTTATGTCTGTCTTGCTTTGCTGCACCCAGCATGATTTTTAGTTTCTGACCCTGCCTTTGGGGCTTCTCAGTCCTCTGGATTTGAAGTGCATTTAGGTAACAGGGATAGCACATGCACACAAAATAAAGAAGCTTTAAAAAAATCTTTTTTGAAGCTGTGTGCCAGGTCTTAAGCACTTTTGTGTATTTTTTTATAGTCCACAACCAACTTGAGGTAGGTACTATTTTCTACATTTTATAGATTTAGAAATGGGGACCAGTTTAATAATTTATTCTAATTACCAAATACTGGGCTAGTATTCAAACTTAACTTGATTTTTATTCATCACACTGTATGCCGTTTCCAGCCCATGCCTGTCTTCTTTTTGTGTGCACACTTAATTTCATAGGCACCATGCTGGTTTCTGTCTTTCCAGGTCCATTAATGAGATGAAACGGTTGGAGGAAATGTCCACGATATTTCATAGCTCTGGAGCTGAGTGTCGCCCTCCTGAACCAAGGTCCCCAGCAGAAGGAAGTGAAGAGGTGAAGGACAAGGAGGAACCATGGGAAATGGTGATGGACAAGAAACACTTCAAACTGTGGCGACGCCCAATTTCGGGCACCCACCTTTACCAGTACCGAGGTAAATCATGCTCGACTGCTTCTGAAGTGTGTGCTGCCCAAGGGCTCTGCACTTTGTTTTTCGAACTCCCCTAAACTGTTCTATCCTGGCTGAATCTCAGAAAATTTGCCAAGCTTTTGTTATTTTTCTCTCCCAGATGTAGGCTTCTCAGATTCTTCCTTGATTTAGGGCATCTCTGTCTTGTTTGCCACCCCCCAGCGTAATTTCTGTTTCTGACCCTGCCTTGGGGACCTGTCCGTCCTCTAGACTTGAAGTTCTATCTAGGTGACAGGGTGAGGGCAAGCCCAGGGGCATGACAAGCATCCCTTGTTCTCTCTTGTCATTCTAGTTTTTGGAACCTACACAGATGTGACACCTCGGCAGTTCTTCAATGTTCAGGTGAGTTAATTTTTCTCTAGATTTGGAGCTTCTTAAGTGAGTCAGTTACTGCTGTCCACATGACTTAATTTCTCATTCTGATGACATTGACTTTGACATATTTTCCATGTCTGTGTGTCTCATCCCACAGCTTATAGCATCTTGAGTAAACCTTTGACTTATAATCTATTTGTCCTGTGGGGATGAGACTGATTTTACCCCTGTTCTCTAAATTGTTGAGAAGATCAGATAGAAGAATGGGTTCTAATGTTTTTATCAGTTGTTTTTCCCCTGAACAATTTGAGGGAAACTACATGCATCATAGCCTTTCATTTTAAAACACAGTATAGGGGCTGGAGAGATGGCTCAGTGGATAAGAACACTGACTGTTCTTGCAGAAGACCCAGGTTCAAATCCCAGCACCCACATGGCAGCTAACAACTGTCTGTGACTCCAGTTCCAGGTGATCCAACAGCCTCTTCTGTCTTCTGTTGTGGGCATTGCACAACACAGGTGCTCTTACCTACATGAAGGCAATACACACATACACATAAAATAAAAATAATAAATAAAATATAAAAAAACCTCACAGTATGTATTTCTTTTTTTTTTTTTTTTTTTTTTTTAAATCTTTTTGAGACGGTTTCCCTGTAGCCCCAGCTGTCCTGGAACTCACTATGTAGACCAGGCTGGCCTTGAACTCACAGAGATCTGCCTGCCTCTGCCTCCCGAGTGCTGGGACTACAGGCATGTACCACCATGCCCAGCTATACAGTATATATTTCTTGAAACTACACATATGTGTCAACTAATGACACCAGTATTAATGTTTGTATAATATGGGCTGGAGTGATGGCTCAATGATAAGAGCACTGGCTGCTCTGCAGAGGACCTGGGTTTGGTTCCCAGCACCCACACAGTGGCTAACAACTGTCTTTAACTCCAATTTCAGGGGATCTGACACCCTCTTCTGACTTATATGATACTGGTGCACTTATATGCAGACAGAAGCACTCATACACATATAACAAAAATAAGTAAATAAAAATTTAAAGTCAGTAAATTTAACTTTGATACCACACTTTAATCTATTTATATTCTAGTTTCATTTGCTGATGTGATCATGCCCCTCATAACATTTTCCCCATCAGTGCCAATCAGTGAGGATTGTATCTGATGACCTCTTTTTAACCTCTTTTAACTGTATCTGCTCAAGGATTGCTTTCCTTAGGGTATTGGCCGTGGTGTTTAAAACAAGAGTCAGCAGGACATAGTGGTGAATGACTGTAATCCCAGCATTTGGAAAGTTGAGGCAAGAGAATTGCTGCAAGTTCAAGGCAAGCCCAGGCTGTGTAGCAAGTACCAGCCTGGTCAGGGTTACATAGCAAGACCCTGTCCCAAAAGCCAAACTAAAACAAACAAAAAAACAAAGTAAAGCAAAAGTGAGAAGGGAAAGCAGGGTGCTACACAGAACTTTTTCTTGGTAATTCCAGTTTTTTAATTTTTTAACTTTTATTTTTTTTAATTAGTATACGAAGTATTGGGCTTCATTGTGGCTTTTTCTTTTTTTTGGTCTCTTTGAGACAGGGTCTCCCTGTATCCACAGCTGGCCCGGATTCACTATGGAGACCAGGCTGGCCTCAAACTCACAGAGATCCATCTGCTTCTGCTTCCCAAGTGCTAGGACTACAGGTGTGTGTTAACACACCCAGCTTCATTATGGCATTTTCAAACATTGTTTTTGTTGGTGGTCTTCCCCTTTTCCCACATCCCTCTGCCCCCATCTTGTATTTATCCATGCCTAGTCTTTCCACATTCACGTCACGCATTCTGTTATCCTCCCTTTTTCCCCCTTTGTTGGCCTCCTTTCTGGTTTCATGACATAGACTTATACCCAAACCTATGTACATATACATAGATCAACATTAAAAGCTAGGATTTGCATATAAAGAGCAAGCATGTGCATTTGTCTTTCTGAGTTAGTTTACTTAATATAATAATTTCCAGATTTATCATCTTCCTGTAAATTTCATTTTTCTCTGATTGAATAAAATTCTATTGTGTATATGTACCCCTTTTTCTTGTTATCCATTAATCTTGGCTGACATCTTGGCTAGACATCTTGAATGGTTCAGTTTCCTTGCTTTTTGTGAATAATGCAACAGCAGAATTGATGTGCAAACATCTATGGGAAGATACAGAGTCTTGGGCTGGAGAGATGGCTTGGCGGTTAGGAGCACTGGCTACTCATGGCAGAAGACCAGGGTTCGTATCCCAGCATCCACATGATAACTAACAGCCATCCATGACTCCAGTTCCAGGGGATCCAACACCCTCTTCTGTCATTGCACAACACGGGTGCACTTATATACATGCAGGCAATATATTCATACACATAAAATTACAATAAGTTGAGAAAAAAAAGTCTCTTGGTATATGCCCAGGAATGCATATACCATATGCCCTCTATTTTTAAGTTTTTGACAAACTTCTGTTGATTTCCACAATGACTATACCAGTTTGTACATCAGCAATGAATAAGAGTTCCCCACATTCTTGTCAGCATTTTGTTGTCTTTTTTTTTTTTTTTTTTTTTTTTTTTTTTTTTTTTTTTTTTTTTAGGTTATAATACCTACTAAAATTAGGCCTGGTGACATGGACCTGTCATCCCAGCTGTTTGGGAGGCTGAAGCCTTCCTGGATAACAGAATGAGTTCAAGACCAGCCGGGAAACTTAATAAAACTGTGTCTTAAAAAGTAAAAAGAGAACTGGGGGACATAGAACACTGTGTAGCATGTATAAGACTCTAGGTTCAACCCCAGAACTGCAACAACAAAAACATACCCACTTATGATACACAAGTGCACTTTCACCTAGGCACTGGATATTGTCAGTTTTTATTGTGTTTCGTTTTGATGTGTAAGATACATCTGTTTATATTTGAAGTTCTTAAGATGCCAGAAATTGAAAAATGCTACCCGAATTTCTCTGCATCAGGGGTTGCTAATACTCTGGGCCCTCCTTAATTAATAATTAAGGCAGTCCCCCATAGACATGCTTACAAGCCAGTCTGATCTTGGCAGTCCCTTCTCAGGTGACTCTAGGCTTTGCCAAGTTGACAAGTAAAGCTAACTGTGACAGATGGTGAGTGCCTTTACCTGCTGAGCCATCTTACTGGCCCCATTCCCCAGACATTTCTTTATATTTTAAAGACATATATTTTCTTTTTTATGTTATGCATATACATGGTAATGGGGATTGAACATAGGGTGTCATACTTGCTAGACAAGTGCCCTACCGCTGAGTTACATCCCTAGTCTTTATGTATTTTACTATGTGTATGAATGTTTGGCTTGCATGTATCTAAGTATACCATGTGCCTTCAGTGCCTACGAAGGCCAGAAAAGGTTGTTGGATCCCTTGGAACTAGAGTCATGAATAATTGTTAGCTGCCATGTGGATGCTGGGAACTGAACCTGGGTCTTCTGCAAGGACAGCCAGTGCTCTTAACTACTGAACTATCTTTCTAGCCCCTTTCCTTGTTTTTGTTTTGAGACAGAGTTTACCTGTGGCTCCAGCTAGTCAGGAACTACATAGAAGTGGATGGCCTCATAGAGATCTACTTGCCTCTGCCCCCCAAGCACTGGGATTAAAGGTGTGTGCCACCATACCCAGCCCCAGTTCTTGGTTTTTTGAGACAGTGTCTCCCTATATAGCCCAGTGTCTCCTTAAATTCTTTTTCTCCTTTTTCCCTTTTTTTGGAAACAGGTTCTTACTCTGTGGCCTTGGGTGTCCTGGGATTCGCTATGTAGACCAGGCTGGCCTTAAACTCACCCATCTCCCTCTCCAGAGGGCTGGGATTCACACCTGGTTCACCTTGAACTCTTGATCCCCTCGCTTAAGTTACTAGATTTACAGGCAGGTGCTATCAGTGTCTAGTTGCTTTTTGTTAAGAATCCTTCAGGGGACTAGGAATATGGCTTAGTGGATAAAGGGCTTGTTGCTGTTCAAGCTTGAGCACCTGAGTTTAGATCGCTAGCACCCACAAAAAAGCTAGATGTGGCATGCATCTATAACCCCAGCACTGGCAGGAGCCTAGTTCAGTAGGAGACCCTGCCCAATAAAATAAAGTGGAAAGTGATAGAGATGCCCAACGTTGACCTCTGTTTTCACATGCATGCACACACACACACACACACACACACACACACACACAATATCTCCTTTAGTGTATGAAAGGATTCTAGAAGAATCATCTGTAATAAGTAGCTATGTCTCTTAACACTTTGGTACTGTTAGGTCAGATTACTATTTCTCCATAATAAGGTTCTTAGGTCAGAGGTCCAAGCTTGTGGAGCATTTTTATTTTGGATCTTCTCTTTTGCAGCTGGATACAGAGTATAGGAAAAAGTGGGATGCCCTTGTGATTAAGCTGGAGGTGATCGAGAGAGACGTTGTTAGTGGTTCTGAGGTTCTTCATTGGGTAACACATTTTCCTGTGAGTGCTTTTACTTCTGGTTTTATTTCTATCAAGTCTGTGATGCAGAACACTAATTCTGCCCCAATCCCATTTCTTTAGTATCCAATGTACTCTCGGGATTATGTTTATGTTCGGCGATATAGTGTGGATCCGGAAAACAACGTGATGGTGTTAGTATCACGGTATGTATGACTGCAGGGGCTCTTGCTAGGCTGCTTGTAGCTGTGCCTTTCACTCAGAATCCCTTGCAGACTTCCCAACAGCCACATCCATCCGAGCTCAAGAGGAGTAGGCTGTGATCAGCTTGGGAGATTGAAAGGGGATACAAGCTTTACAAGCTTATACTTTTGGTGGTATTGAGGGTTGAACCTAGGGCCTCACACATGGTCTATCACTTTAGGTCTAAGCTTTTAATTAAATTTTTTGGGTACTTAATATTGGTGAAGGAGTTAAAAAGGTAGAAGAGTTGCACAGCCCATGAGTTGTACATACAAGTAACAAAGGAGCTTGCTTGTTTCCACAGCTTGGGCTATACATCTCAGTGACTTGTTGGCTTTATTTTAAAAAGTGGAGTCAGAATTTTAGACCCCTCCTCAGCCTTAGCCACCCTTTGATCAGTGTGGAGACATTCCTCAGACTTGACTCCTCCTTTCCTTCTTGCAGTGCTGTGGAGCACCCCAGTGTTCCAGAGTCTCCAGAATTCGTCAGGGTCAGATCCTATGAATCCCAAATGGTTATCCGTCCTCACAAGTCATTTGATGAGGTGAGTTTACTTATCTGAGAGATGATGTGTTGTGATTTTGAAGTTTTCTCAAGGAATACCTTTTATCTGAACTGGGAGAGGTGAGTTGTTGGAGTGCAGTATGCTGGAGAGTGACATGCATTAGAATCAGCTAGAGCTTATAGGTACAATGGGGGGCCCTGGCCTTAGAGCTTCTGAGTGAGTACGTTTAGGGCTGGCTCAAATGTTTACTGTTCTACCAGATGTGGTGGCACATGCCTTTAATCCCAGTACTCAGGAGGCAGAGGCAGGTGGATCTCTGTGAGTTCAAGGCCAGCCTGATCTACATAGTGAGTCCCAGGCCAGCTGGGGCTAGGGAGACCCTGTCTCAAAAAGGTGAGAAAAAAGAAAGTATTGTTCTGATTCTTAGGTAAGGCTCAGGCTGCTGGTCAGGAAACCATGTTTTGGGATTTCTTGCTGTAGGGCGATATAACTGGACAATTTCCAAGGACAAACTAGTGATGATCCAGGGGCTTCCTTTAACCTGAGGGATGGCTTGCATCACGGCCCTCGGAAACTAGAACAAGTACCCTCCATCAACACATCACCACAGTGGGCAAGGCATGAAAACCTTTCTGGGATTTCTGCCTCCTTGTATATGTACCCAATGCTTCATCCTTTAAACTTCTGTGACTTTTCTAGAAGAGAATGCTTACTTGGCTTAGTCGTTTTGTTCTAAGCTAAATCTCTGGTGAGGATACATATTGCCACTAGTTGCTGGCTCTAGTTCTGCAGTATGGTAGGTGATTTGACTTCTCTTTGTTGCCTTTATTTGCTTGAAAACTATATGGACTGTGTTCTTTTATCAAGTTGTTTCATTTATACTACTAAAGTAGGGCTTAGACTCTGAGAGACAGTGGTTGACCTCAACATAGTGTTTGGACATTTTCTTATTGGAATCAGTGTGTTTACTTCTGTGCTAAATTTTGAACAGTATTTTTCTTTCTTTTTTTTTTTTTTTTCTTCTTTTTTAGGGGGGTCTTTTTGAAACAGGGTCTCTCTGTAGCCCCAGCTGGCTTGGCACTTGCTATGTAGATCAGGCTGGCCTCAATCTCACAGAGATCATCTGCCTCTGCCTCTCAAGTGTTGGCATGTGCCACCCGACTATAACAGTATTTTTCAAGTCACAGGTTGCTGCCTATTAGTAGGAGACATTCCTGGGATTATGATCAATTGTTAATCTTATTTTGTTTATTTTTATTTTATATGTATGGGTGTTTAGTCTGCATATATGTAAGTGCACCTGTGCCACTATGGTGCTGTCTTTATTACTATGGCTCTGAAGTATAATTTGAAATCAAGTATTATGCTGATTTTACTCTTGCTTTTTTTATTCTTCAAGACAGGGTGTTGCTATGTAGGCCTAGCTGGCCTGGAACTCACTGTGTAGACCATCCCAGGCTGACCTTGATCTCAAACATCTGCCTGCCTTTGCCTCCCGAGTGCTGGGATTAAAGGCCTGTGTCACAGGCTGGGCATGGTGGTGCACGCCTTTAATCCCAGCACTCAGGAGGCAGAGGCAGGTGGATCTCTGGGAGTTCAAGTCCAGCCTGGTCCTCGTTAGTGAGTTCCAGGATACCTGGGGCTACAGGGAAAGCCTGTGTCACTGTGCTCTTTTTTGCTCAAGATTGCTTTGGGTCTTTGGACTCTCGTTTGTTTCCATGTGAATTTTAGGCTGATTTTTCTATTTCTGTGAAGAATGTTTTTGGGGATTTCATTTAATATGTAGATCACTTAGGTAATGTAGCCATTTTTTTCTTTTTGTGTGTTTGTGTCATATAAATGCATTATGTGTACACATAAGTGTGCACAGAGGCCAGAGAAGGACATCAGTTGTCTTCCTGTATCACCTCTGTCCTATTTTCTTGACACATGGTCTTTCACTGAACCCAGAATTTGCTGGGTTCTTTTTGGTTGGGCTGACTGGCTTTAATTTTGTATGAGTGTTCTGCCGGCATGCGTAAGTACCACCTTTGTTATGCAATGCCCACGGAGACCAGAAGAGGGCGTCAGAGTTAACAGCCGGTTGTTAGCCACCATGGGTGCTGGAAACTGAACCTGGGTACTCTACAAGAGTAGCCAGCTCTCTTAACTGCTGAGTCATCTCTCCACTCCCACTCACAGCTTTTTACATGGGTAAATAACAAGTGCTCTTACCCTCTGAGCCATCTCCATAGTCCCATGTAGCCATTTTCACAGTATTCTGCCAGTCCTTAAGTATGGGATGTCTTTGCATCTTCTAGTGCCCTTTCCTTATTTGTATTCCTTTTTTCTATTTATTCCTGTTTGTATTCTTCTTTCTTTCTCTTGCCTTACTGTTTTAGCTAAGACTTTGAGCACCATACTGAACAAGAACAGAGAGAATTCTTTGTCGTTGTGTTCTTACCCAGTTTGGGAATCAGGATAATACTGGCTTTATAGTGAGTTTGGTACTATGCTTTCCCTTTCTGTTTTATGAAGTAGTTGGAGGCCTCTGAGCCAGGCAGGTTCCCACTCACTCCGGAAGTTCTCCAGTTTGTACACAAAGGGGGAACAAACAGGGCATTGAGGGCTACACTGGAGGGAGGCCCTCTCTGCCTGTTAGTCTCAGTGCTTTCAGAACCCGTCCAGCAATGAGCTTTCCTGCAGGAAGGAGGAGGATCTGAAAATCCAGATATGTGCTAGATTTGGAACTCTCAGTCCTGCCTGGCAGCAAACCATAGGTGACCTGAAGGCGGCTCTGTAGACTGTGAAGGCCTTGTATTCACCGGCTACAGCTTTGAGGCTCTCAGCCTCTGCGGTACACTTCAAGCAATTAAACACTGTTCTACTTTACAAGGTGGGGCCGCTGACCACTATGCTGTCCACAGCCTGAGCCCCTGCCTGGACTTCTCATTGTGTCCATGTCTGATCCTTCCTTCTCCAGGACTGCCTCTCATGGCCATCTCCTGTCCAGACACTCTGGTAAGGTGTCTCCAGACTTCCTGAATTCTAATAGGTCCTTGTTTTCAGGTCCCCAAAGTGGCTAAATCTCAAACAACAGCCCCACCCCTACCCCTGCCGCAGCACTGATTATAGCTCTCTGGGGAGAATGGGTTTCACTTCTGGTGCTGGCCTGTCCTGCCCTAAAGAGTCATCACTGTCACCCCAAGTCCACCCACCCACTGGATTTAAGACTTGTGGGAACTAGGTTTGTCTTGTGGCTAGGACTGCCATTCTTTTGTGACCTAGGCTATATTTGGCTTCCCTTGTAGTTTTGGATTCAGCTCCCTTTCCTGCCTCTCTAGGGTTAGGAGCCCAGGTTAGTGCTTTCGGCCCTTTTCTTATTTTTCCTCCCTAGCCTTTGGTTTCTCTGCTGTTCACCTTTCCTGTCACCTCTTTTGTGATTTCTGATGTTCTTCCTCTTCGAAATGTGGTCCGATTCATCTTTTGTTGCCCTGATCCTTTTCACTCACAGTCACACAGAATAAGAATCTTCTAATCATCCATCTTACCTTGAAAATCTACTTTATTCTTTATATTGCTTTTGGAATATAAGCTGTGTCTATGTGTGACGGTTAGTTTTAAATATCAACTTGCTACAATGTAGAATCACTTGAGAAAAGAGCCTGAATGAATGACATATTGCCTAGATAAGGTTGGCCTATGGGGGAATTGTCTTTTTTTTTTTTTCGGTCTTTTTTTGTTTTGAGACAGGGTCTCCCTGTAGCCCCAGCTGTCCTGGAACTCACTATGTAGACCAGGCTGGCCTTGAACTCCCAGAGATCCACCTGCCTCTGCCTCCTGAGTGCTGGGATTAAAGGCGTGCGCCACCACGCCTGACCTGGTTTTTTTTTTTAATGTATTCCCTCATTTATGTGTGCGTATGTGTGTATGTGCACTTATGTGCCATGGCACATATATGGAGGTCAGAGGACAGCTTGTGGGATTCAGTTTTCTCCTTTCACTGTTTGGGTCCCAGGGATCCCAAGTCAGGTACATTTCCCTGGTAAGCATATGTCTGACTGGGGCATTTTCATTGTTGCCTTAACTGAGGTGGGATGGAAGATCTACCCTGAATGTGGCAGCACCATTTCATGACTGGGCACTGAACTGTATAAGTGAAGACGGCTAGCTGAGCTAAAGCAGGCATCATAGGTGCATTTGTTTCTGCTCTTGTCTATGGATGTGGATGTGTGCCTGTCTCAGGCTCCTGCCTCTGTGACTTTCCTGCAGTGAGAGACTGTAACCTGGAATCATAAGCCTAAATAAACCCTTCCCCTATGTTGCTTTTGGTCAGTTCTTTTTTTTTTTTTGTCTTTTTGAGACAGGGTCTCCTTGTAACCCCAGCCGGCCTGGAACTCACTATATAGACCAGGCTGGACTCGAACTCACAGAGATCTGCCTGCCTCTGCCTCCCAAGTGCTGGGATTAAAGGCGTGTGCCACCATGCCAGCCTTGGTCAGTATATTTTATGCCAGCAACAGAGACATAACTAGAACACCATGTGTTACCTATGTGAAAAAACAATGACTTAAAATTCCACATTGCTATCTTTTCACTTAGCAGAGTGGGTTGCATCTCAAGAAGCCCAGTGTTTCTTCTAGTTGCATTGGGAGAACAATGAGAATTATCATTATAATTCTTTACATTTGTAGCAGGTTTTTTATGAAAAAGGTAGACTTAATCTTTATAAAAAGGCAGAATATCGATAGTGGAAAACAGAAGGGCACCCTGGGAGATGAGACATGATTCGATCCCGACAGGTGTGTGCTCAAAGTACCGAGGACAGTAGATTTCACAGAGTGGTGACTATGGTGATGATAGCAGCCACGTTTGGATTTGTCAGAGAGAGAGTGACCCTTTAACCAAGGCATGGTGTTTCGTATGTCTTTCTATTATGGAAAACTTGAAGCATATACAAAAGATAAGGACATAGAGGAGGGAGGGGCATAGTGAGCCCTCTCCTTGTCTTCAGCTTCAGCAGTTCATGGCCAGGCTTGTTTCATCTGTACCTGTTCTCA